AGACACTTATGAAATTGATACTAACACCATAATCAAGAAAGATGACACCGCTGAGCCATCTACAAATGCAAAACACAGGCTTCAAATGAACAAGAGGAAAAAAAAAACAAACAAAAAAACCCTAGTGGAACAATATGGTTTTTCTAACAACGGTTAGAACCATCACAGAAATTATGAAGGTGCTGGACACTGTAGTTAAGGCGAGCTTACACAAGTCTTAAATACTGTTTTGATGTTCACTTGTAAATTAATGTCCTTTCCAATTAATGCAGTTGATGCTGAAATGCCAGACTCTATCTGTGGGAAGCATACGGATACGGAACTCCTATACAGGCAAACTGAAGCCAGAGGACAGGGTGATAGAATATTTAATCCTTCCCCTCCCAAAAAAATAATCCTATCCTTACTACAAAAGAAAAAAAGAAAAGAAGGCAATCAGAAAGAAGAACTATTTAAAAGTCAAAAGCAAGAAAGAACTACATTATAAATCCATTTATAGATAACTTCAAAACGTTGTGGAATTTTTCACTCACTATTGCAAGATTAACTGAGCAACAATGACAGAGAAAAACGTGTATACACAAGTTAGATGCAAAGTTCGTACAGAGAAGCCCTAATTGTTCAGCCTTGCTATTGTGTTCTGAAGTTGTTACATAAATACAAAACAATGGAAACAAAAACAAAACATCAGATCTCTTAAACTTTATGAAACAGAGAAGTAAGACCCATACAGTTGTTATATATCACAATTATCCCCTGAACCCAAGAGAATTTTCAAGGCCATAGACTCTAAAACTATAAAGTGTTCCTTAATATAGGACTTGATTTTTAAGTAAATAGGACTCTATTTGCATTTTTTGGTTGTAAACTGTTTAGTAACACACACTGATGCAAACACGTATACAAAACTTTAAACCTTAAAACGGCAATTTTACAGACAAGCTTTCTTCATCATTCTTCTTGCACAGACTCGATCACTGACACTAACAGCTACATTAATCATTCTTAATTTTACTTCCCAAGAGCAGCTGGTGCGATCTACTAAAACAGCTCTTGACCTATTTGTTCCCACCATCTTTCCTGATGCTTGCTGCTGCAACAGCTCACCTGGGACAACAGATTCTGTTTTCTGCAATATCTCAACACCAAACTTTACAGCTGTTACAAGACTAATACAGAGTGGTATGCTGAATCACAAGACACTTCATTTTCTCACACTTAAGAAAAACAAAACCGGGTTATATTTTAGATTACTTCTGCTGGACCTGACATGAATGACTTAAAAAACAAAAGCAGTTTCAATACTGTGCAAGCAAGACTAACAAACAGTATTCGAGTTCTAGACAGGGAATGGATTTTTAAAATAATTCTTTCCTCACTGCATAAAACAATGAAGAAGTTGAAGGTACATTTTAAGACAAACTTTAAAAACAGTATTACTTATTCAAAAAAGAAATGAGCATGGAAAGAGAATAAAAACTACTATAGAACATGTATCTAAAGAACTGCAATTTTTAATCTCTAAATGCACCAATATGGAAGTGGCAATGAAGGAAATTCATATAATGTAACAGTTTAGTTAAAACAAACTCTGCTACGTATAGAAAAGTAATTCTGCTCCCACTAGTCATATTTAGCCTAATGTCCAATACCAAATATAATAATACTAAATAGAAGTACAGTACAGGTCTGTTCTAAGAGAACTCCATTACCTTACATTAAAAACGAGTTTATTTTAATACAAGATTAAATATGACTGCTATGCTACATAACAATTTTAGAAAATAAGTACCAATACAGCACATAAACAGCACGTGAACATTTTAACAATGAATAGACGACATTCATGTCTCCATTGTGTTTAAAGTAATAATATATTCATATACACAGTGCCTTTCACCTGAAAGCTTTAAAGGACTTCTTCAATTTTTCTCAAGTGCAAGATAGGTTATAAAAACACCAACATGACTGATTTAGATCTAAATAAGCAAATTTACCCTTCTACTCAAAAGTGTGGGAAAAAAGCAGATGCATTGTGTTTAAATGCTGTTCCCAACCCTTCATCACATATATGCACTAGAATCCTTAGAAGTAATGCAACTGCTAAAGGAAAAAGCACTACTTCCATGTACAACACACTCAAACAAAATTACACAACAGTTTAAGAAAGGAACAGCAATATACTATAGTAAACAAACAAAATGCAATGTATTTTAAGAAGAGAGAAAAAAATAATCAAGAAATGTTATCATGCTTTTTTAAAAATAAAAAAAAAAATTCAACACGATTTTCTTATAGGAAATACTCTACCAGTTTCAGATTAAGCCCTTGTGTGCAAGTACACGAAAACAGCCTAATCACATCAAAGGGAAAAAAATTTCTTCTCTCTAAATATATACACAATTCTGAAAACAAGGATTTAAAACAAACTTTTCTTTACTGGGCCATTCTACTTTTTATATAGACAACTAATGCACAGTTTAACAGCGGGATTGCTGCTACCAAAAAGCGATGTATTTCACAAACATTTTAGATTTTGTAAACCTACACATATTTTCAAAAGCAACAGCTGATGTAATCTTACTTAAAGCTTCTCGTAAAGATGGCAATTTCCATACTTCTCAAGTGAGAGAAGTATCTTACAAGCTTAGTTTGTTCCAGTAGTCTATTTTGATGAACAGATAACATGAGTTCATTTTCCGAGACATAGAGAGTTAATGGCAAAACAGTAAAAGTGCTGGAAAGGTATGTAAGTATGATATATGAATTTAAACAGGACCTAAGTTTGTCTTGTCTTGTTGAAGTAACAATCCAGCATAAGACAATTTCCCAGTGGAGAAACATTCTCCATTTATAGTTTCCAATTTTGTAGTTCTCCAAAAAGAAATTTCTCCAATGATTACAGTATTCTCCATGCATTTCAAGACTTGAGGAATATGTATTAAAAATCCTGACTGATCTTTTCACTGGCAGTCAGCAAAAGGTATGCTTCCTTTTAAAATCAGGCCCTAAGTATGTAAAAGTCCTTCTTTATGCAAGATGATGTTGAAGGGATGGTGTAGTAAGCATAAGAAAAAAAATTAACTAATGTATTATCCAAACCACTTAGTGTCAGTTACCAAGCCCTCAGCTTGGTGGAATTTTTTTCTTTCTTCTTTGATTAAAAAAAACAAATCCCAAACACAAAACCAACTTTGAAGTAGTTCTTCTCTTGGTGTCAATTGATACAGTTCAAATAGAAACAATGGAGCTATAGAGACATATACCAAGGAAGCCACCCAGCACTCTAGTGGTTCAACCGTTCTCTGCAAAGTCATAATCTTCCAGCACTCACTGACATTAGTTGGTGATAAAGTATCATAAGAAAAAACATTATCTTTTTTTTTTTTTATAGAGAGAGACACAGATATATAGAAAAATATAAACCTTTTAAATAGGTATATACAACACAAATTTCATACTGATATGATGTCAAACATTTCAGTGTTTTAAGACGGAATAACTGTATTCCATTCCACTTTTATATTCTTTAAAAAAAAAGAAAAAATATATATGGAGAGAAGCTGAAATACCCCAACTTTGAAAAACTATCAATAAGATAAAAGCATGACCTTACAGATTTACAGGCTACTTCTCTGCACACATTTGTCTAAACTTTAATATGTCAAGACTTACAAAGATCTTGTATGGCTAGTAAAGCCATGTGAAAACAGGGGTACACTGTCATTAGGTATAACATCATTATAAATGTTTCCATTTTTAATATTTGAAAAGCTTTTCAGTTATAAGCTGAAATCTCTGCCCTAAGCTGCTCAGCCTGTGAAATGGGTAATGCATCCACTAACTTGCTAAAATTTAGAAAGCATCCATCTGACTAGGTGAGCATAGAATTAAAAACGTATTGTAACCCATGCAGAAATTATCTCTAGAGCCTTGATTTTATTAAATGCTTCAAATTTGCAAACAGTTATCTAGCTATGTTCTTTTAACACACACATTTTTCAGGTACTTCACTCTGCTGGGAAAGAGAGGTAATGACGGCGGGAGGGAGACAGCAGGCAGCACAGTTCAGAATCACTTTGCACAAATCACAACTCATGAATGAAATCAACTGAACTGCATTTCCTGGCTGTAACAGACGGCTCTTATCCTAGGGAGCACGTGAACAGGATAGCATGTGATGGGATTTCTTTGGTGGCTCATCACCTCAAACGATGAGGAAAGCATCGCCTACAAATTATGTATGTACAAATTATGGCAGAGGTGGGCCACAGCTTTCTGCCATTTTTACTCCTGAATCTGCTGCCACTGCTGCATAAGCTTAATTTAAGCAAATGTTAGTAGTAGTAGTATT